ATTTACATTTTCTGCCAGGGCCATAGCCAGGCTTTACAAGGCCTGGGAAAAAAAAGTATTGAAGCACATTTTCCTACTTGATTATCCTACAAATACCCACAATGTGGCCTAGGTCAAGTATCTCAAATCCTCAACCAAGGAGCTTCTTATTACTGGCTCTGTCTCCACTATTTTGTTTGTTTCTACTGTCTCTGTGCACCACAGCACAAATCCACTACAGAGCAAACTGCTGCATTTGGATCAACCTCCTCTTCTATGCCCAGATTTGGTATAAGTGTCTCTCCTGGCGGTGGCCCTCGCTTATTCTTTCTAACATGCCTGCGTTAACCTGGATGAGATGCAAATTGGTGTTAAGAATGCTTTTTAATGTACTACCTGCAAACTAAGTTACACTTACATTGGTATGAGTCAGTAAAGATTTGGTAAAGAATAATCATCTACACTTTATCTGTAACATCACTAACAAGCAAAGCTGGGCAAACGCCATGAAAAAAAAATGTTCCCTGGATATTTTCTTGAGCTTGGTAGTAAATTCACTTCAACTCTGCATCATCCATTCATGTGCATTGACTTTTTAAAATATTTAACTGGCTGAGTTCTAGTAATATGAATGGTGGCAGAAATTATTCTTGGAAACTGACTTGTAAAATGTGCATATCAGGATTTGGTCCAGAAGTGACTGCATAACTCTTCCAGGAATAAAAATAACACTTAGACATATGACTTCTCTAAAAAATCAGAAGTAAGAGACACATCCAAGTCATGAATATTGAGTATTGAATTTTTGCAATAAGCTGTAAAAAAGCTTTTGAGGAAATCACAATTCCTGAGAGAGCTTCAAGACCAGGAGAAAGTTTTTTTGTGGACTTTATTCATTGTGAATATTTGCTCAGCTTTGCAAATGAATAGCATTCCAAGAAGCTTCTCTTTTGGGGTCTGATTGAAAGCCCATTGAAGTCAATGGAAGTCTTCAATGGGCATTGGATCAGGCTTTTGATGTAGTCCCATGAATGCTAAAGAAAATTGTTGGATTATATTAAAACTTCTTCTGAAGAGACATTTTAATGTAAATTGTATTAATGCTTTATATTATTACAAAAAGCAAAATGTGACTTCTTCAGAAATATCAACTCAGGTGTGTAATGTCCCACATGCACCATTGGATTTAACTTTAACTTAACACAAATTCATCTCTCTCCTTAGAAGGTGCTAATGGAATAATAAATATATCACTTCACTAAATTCCTCAGGAAGGGCTCTCTGATGGCTTGCAACTTAGCAAATAAGACTGAACTTAATTTTAAAGCACAAGAAGAGAAAGCTACAAAGACTGTTTTAGTTTCTACAAATAATCTTTTCCCTCAATACTGCAAGTCCAAAGTTATTTAAATTATTCTCCTCAATGAAATATGCTTGATGTAAGATCCACTGGTTAGTATGTTTACTATCATGCCGTCTGCAATTCACAAAGGCTGAGGAGTCGGTTCTGATTTACATTGGTGAGAGATCAGTAGCTCCATTACAGACAATGGAAATAAGATGTAAATTAAATCTCTGTGAACAGGAGCAGAATCTGGCCCTGGAAGAGTTTAGAAATACTTAAATCCCGGTCAGAGATCAGATTGAATGGAAATCTAAAAGGGTAAATTAGCATAACAGTAAAGTACTCTCCAGTTCTAATGTCTTAGAAGGGGTTTTTGTGACTTCAAAAACATCACTTCTTCAAAAAAGATACACCCCAATCTATCCAGATACCTATATCTTCTGTTCTTGCACTGAAATCCTATTGGAGTAGAGGAAATGGGAGGGGAGAGATGTTTAGAAACATAAAGAAGTTGGGCTGCAAGGGACCTCCAGAGGTCATCTAGTTCAAATCCCTATCAGAGGCAGAATCATCCCTATCCAAACCATCCTATACAAATCCATTGTCTAACACAGTCAACCCTGACACAGCCGGAAGGCGTAACACATTAATTTGCCACAAGTAAGGCAGGGGAACAGCAATGGCCAATGTCATGCTGCTGTGAGGGTTGCTAAATTTGCCTGAGAGATCCAAGGAAGAGGGCCATGCGCCCCGCTACAGTGGAAAGCAAAAGCCCCCAGTCTGTACCAATCTGGTCACGGGAAACAATTCCTTCATGCCCCCAAATATGGCAACCAGGCAGACCCTGAACAGAGGGGGAAAGACCCTCCAGCCAGGAACCTCCAGGTTGAAGTCTCAGCAGGAGCATTGGCATACCCAAGTCAAAATCCTCAACCTTGTCTGCTGCCAACACACACTGCCTCCAAGGAAGTAGAACCACCCAACCCCCTTCCTACCTGACACGTATAGCAACAGGATCAGGGGAAAAAAATCCCTTCCCAGCCCCATGCATCAACCACCAACAGCATGATACATGGAAAATAAGATAGCAGAGCACAGATAAGGCTCTTGAGTAGAGCTCTGCAAGGCTAGAGACTGCCTAAGGATGTTGTGGAATCTGTTCCATAGCCTCACTGTTCTAACAGTGAAGATATTTGTCCTGATATTCAATCTAAACCTACTTTGTAGTAACTTCAAGCCATTTTATTTCAAAGAAATGTTCATAGCAAAAAAAAAAAAAAAATTAGAATAGATTCTGGGGGTGGGTTTTTTAGCTATTTTCAGCTTTTTAGAGCATTCACCTGCAGCTATTTGCCAAGCATCTCTGATGATAACCTATATTTCTTCAGTGGCAGATAATTTTTGTCACCAGCTTTTTTTTGTGCATCTGGCTAATGCTTCCTCCCAGCAACTATTACTTATTGTATCATAAATGCAATAATTATTGTTTACAGGCTAACAAATAAACCACCACCACCAAATGTTCCACGAAGGGATTATGCTTCAGGTAAGGATGGCTTAATGGAACTTTAAACTTGTATATTTTTCCTACGAGTGCTCCAATGGCATATTTGCTCATAATTTCTTCTAGACAAGGGAAGACTGAACCATTACCAATAACTCATATTGCAACTCTCTTATTAAATGTGAGAAGGCCAACCCATGGAAAACTGTCTCAGAGGCAGGATAAACAGTAATGAGTAGCTGATAGCAAATTCCCCTGCAAACTAACCCAGCTTTCACCTACTCCATTGAGGGAAAAGGACCCATTTCCAGCCATTTTCTGTCAGGGGAGCCCACCCTGTACCCAGTGAAAATAAAGAGGAAAAAGAGGCTAAAAGATTTCCTTTCCACCCAAACCAAACCAGATGATGATGCCAAAAGTTAGTTTCAAGTGCAAGTGAATCTTTAATTACTTATCATACAAGTCAGTTTCTATCCATTTTATTTTCTACTTGTTAGGCGTTAGAGATAGTTTTTTGTTCAGAGGCAATACAGTAAAATACAGGAGCAGAATGAAGCAGGTAGTGACTAAAAGTTGTCAATCTAATAACTTCAGTGATTGATGTTACCACTGTTAACCAGCATCCCCCTAGGAACTACAACAGGGGACTGAAGGCCTGAATTCTCAAAAGATCTGAACCAGCCATCTAGTGTTATCTTGTATGGGGTTTTAAAGGGACTCTTTGGGGTTTTTTTACTAAAATGCAATCAGATTTTTCAGTCTGTCCTTAAAATGCATGTTTTTGTGATTACTATTCTGCTTCCCTAAATAACTCAAATGTTTGGTTTAGAACATGCAGATGAAGAGGAACAATGGCCAGATGATTTTGTAAGTATATACTCCTGGGATAACAGGCAGTTATTCTATCAACACATTCCCCAAGAGAGATAATAATGAAACTTCAGTTTCAAATCATGCATCAATAGCAGCTTTAGGGGAAGGCAAACCAGGTGACCGCCCAGAGCCCCACGCCCCAGGGGGTCCAAATTTTTGGTGGGTGAAGTTTTTGCAAGGAAGTAGCTCCTAACAATTAAGCCTCTAAGGGGCCCCAGATTACTCTGGCCTCTTCTTTTGCAGATGGATATGGAATTCACTTATTTATCAGTATGTAAAATGTGTGATAATTAAGTGACTTATTTTTATGGTCTCTTATTTAGATAACAGTTGAATTCACAGGACATGCCTACACATAGTTGGTAGCATGTCCCAGCCAGGACAGGCCCTGTCAACCTGCTCCTGCGTGCATGCATGCTCTGAAGCTAGAAATATACTGATGAAGCTGCTCCACAGTCCCCAGAGGTCTCAAGGGTGGACACAGAGGGAGCCCTTGGAGCACCTGCATGGAATATTTTGGTGTTTAGAGCATGCAAGTGGGCAGGATTTGTTTGGGAATAGCCCAGCTGAGACATGCTGTTGCTACAGTGTAGACATGCCCAAAATGTGTTAGCCATTTTCTAAACTCAGTTTGGAAACATAGAGTGAAATCCTGTCTCTAGTGAAAACAACAGCAAGCCTTCCATTGATTTCAGTTAGCCCATGATTTCTGCCACACACAATGTCCCCAAAAAGCATGTAATCTATATACATTTTCTCTCCTTTCAGATTTAAATGTGAAGATTTTAATATTTTCTTGAAGTAGACCCTGTAAAGAAACCCAGGTCTGAACACTCCTAGATTTGAGTACAGAGTGTTAAGAGTATATATTAACTATTAGGAAATTCACTAATTCCCAGGTGTCACCTGATGAATGACTCAACTAGGACTTTTATGGGCATGTCAGGTAAGGGAGGTAGAAGGGCTCTAGGCACTTCTAGATACTGTCTAATCAGTAAAGGTGGGCAGGAACAGGATTTTCTGTTTCACAGTAAATTCCTTATTGTCTCAAAAAAAATCTGATTTTCAAAATGGAATGAAAAAACGGAATATTCCACAAAGAACCCCATTTCAAGTCAATCAAAACAGTTCAGTTCAACACAACTAAAAATATTCCAGTTTTGACGTTTAGTCTTCTTATTCATTAAAAAAAAAAATCGATTCAAAACAAAATCCAATTGTTTATTTTAGAATGAAAACTGATATTATTAAAAAGTTATATTTCCTTTTTTAAAACTTTTTTTTTTACTAAATCATCTTGGCTTTAAATTGAAAAGCAGTGCTTTTTTCTGACCAGCTCTACTTTTCAGAACATTAGACAAAAGCAAGTCATGACCCATCCCTCCTCCCAGAACATGCCTTGCTTTATATCCTATTTTGTGAGCATGAGGGCCACTGGAAGTGGGCCAGGCTGTTGATGTGCTTATTGATGTGGGGGGTGCATTCTCAGTTTAGAAGAAAGTCTGTGGAGATGTCGGAAAGTAGCAGGAAATAAGGAGTGCAATGTGTGTGGTACTCCAGCTGAGATGAGGAGGCAGTGAGAAGTACTTGGAAACTTTTTCCCCCCTACGGGTTAATTCCTTCATCGTCAATCTGTGACTAAATAAAGTAATATTCATCAATCTAATAATGTTCATAACTGTTAAGTGTTTTTGTAGTTCATGAAATAATGCAGTGATTGGGGTGTTTGAGTGTAACTTCTAAGAATGAAGCCACAAGTATCTTACAATGTGAGAAACATGAAATTGTTTCTTTCTAGGATAGTGATTATGAAAATCCAGATGACCACTCTGATTCAGAGATGTATGTGGTTCCAAGTGAAGAGAATGGCGATGACAGCTATGAGCCACCTCCAACTGAGCAAGAAAAAAAGAAAATTCCTTCAGCATTCCCAATTTCTAGGGGAGAATATGCAGGTATCTATGGAATTGGTGATAATATGAGTCAGTGGCTCAGCTTTCAATACTAGCAGCGTAAACATTAACATCTTGGAAAAAAGAAAAGAATTTAAAATAGTGTCAACATGATAGGTAGTTCATCCTTTCCTCTGGAGTTAACATGAAGAAGAAAGATTGTCAGAGTCCAGAGCTTCTGGGATATAATGGACTTGTTGGAGGGTGAGATACCATGATATTGATGGTCTCACCTAAAGAATTTTTATATTTTGTACAAGGCCCAATGACTTGTACAAAATATGTTGGCACTTAGAAAAACATAACATGAAGTTCTAACCAAGGATTGGAAAGTTGCTAAGAAATTGCATTGAATGCCTTGCATGTAATCCAAGATGCTTTAATAGGAGGACAGCTTTTTCCATTGTTGACTGAAGGTTATTCAAAAAGGAATGAAGTTTAAAGGAGCCCTTTATTCAAGTATACTTATTTGTTAATCCAGGAAGACCAAAGCAAGGATCATAACAGACACAAAAATCAATCTCAGATTGCCCTTAAAAATTAGGAGCAGAGAAGGAACCCTAAGAAACAGTATAAGCAGAAGATTACTCCACTTAAATCGCTACAGTTAACAGACCATCCTCTTCCTTCCACAGTAATGCTTTTTCAACCAAATACTAGACAAAGGAATTTTTGTTATTTGTTGGACCAAGATTTTGCCCATGGGAAAAAGATTGATCAACAATACCCCACCCTCTCTTTCTTTATTACTTGCATTTTATTAGGTTCTGATACTGCGTATACAAAATATTACTCATGTAAGTACTGAAACATATAATTAATGAATCACTTGCACATTCTGCAAATAATGTGGGGAAAGTTTTACCGGTAATTAAATGTGGGTTAACCGGTAATTAAATGAGGATGTGGTGGATGAGGCTTTCTTCAAACATCTAGCGGAAGTTTCTCGATCACAGGCCCTGGTTCTCATGGGGGACTTGGATCACCCTAACATCTGCTGGGAGGGTAATACATGAAGTTTTTGGAGAGTGAGGACAACTTCCTGGTACAAGTGTTGGAAAGGCCAACTGGAAGCCATGCTTTTCTTGATCTGCTGTTCACAAACAGGGAAGAATTAGTGAGGAAGTGTGGATGGCAACTTGGGCAGCAATGACCATGAGATGATTGAGTTCAAGATCCTGAGGAAAGGAAGGAAGGAGAGAAGCAGAGTGCAGACCCTGGACTTCAGAAAAGCAGACTGACTCAGGAAACTCATGGGCAGGATCCCCTGGGAGGCCAGTTTGATGGGGAGAGGAGTTCAGAACAGTTGGCTGTATTTTAAAGAAACCTTACTAACAATGCAGGAACAAACCATCCCGATGTGGAGGAAGACTAGCAAGTATGGCAGAAGAACATTTCTTGGTTAGCAGGGAACATTTCAGTGAGTTAAAACACAAAAAGGATGCTTATAAGAAGTAGAAACTTGGACAAACAACTAGGGAGGAGCATAAGAGTATTGCTTGAGCATGCAGAAATGAAATCAGGAACCAAGTCCCCACATGCAGGCTCATGCAGTTTGTGGTGCCACTAACCAAACATGCCATGAACTTTGAAAACTCATGACAATCACGAGAGGTCCTGGATGACTGGAAGATGGCAAATATAGACCCATCTTTAAGAAAGGGAAGAAGGAGGATCCAGGGAACTGCAGACCAGTTAATCTCACCTCAGTCCCCAGAAAAACTATGAAGCAAGTCCTCAAGGAATCCATTTCTAGGAACTTAGAGGAGAAGAAGGTGATTAGGAACAGTCAGCATTGATTCACCAGGGGCAAGTCATGCCTGACCAACCTGACTGCTTTCTATGATGAGATGATTGGCTCTGTGGATGTGGAGACATCAGTGAATATGATATAGATTCATAGATGTTAGGGTCAGAAGGGTCCTCAGGTTATCAAGTCCACCCCCCTGCCCTGGGCTAGAAAATGCGCTGGGGTCACACGACCCCATCTAGGTGCTTGTCCAGTCTCCTCTTGAAGATCCTCAGGGTAGGGGAGAGCACCACCTCCCTTGGAAGCCCATTCCAGATTCTGGAAAGCCTTACTGTGAAGAAGTTCTTTCTAATGTCCAACCTAAATCTGCTCTCCATCAATTTGTGGCCATTGTTCCTAGTATATATCTTGACTTTAGCAAGGCTTTTGATACCATCTCCAACAACATTCTCACAAGCAAGGTAAAGCAGTACAGGTTGGATGAAGGGACTGTAAGGTGGATAGAAACTAGCTGGATCATCAGGCTCAGAGGGTAGTAGTCAATGGCTCCATCTAGTTAGCAGCTGGTATCAAGTGGAGTGCCCTAGGGGTTGGTTCTGGGGCCAGTTTTGTTCAATATTTTCATCAATGAGCTAGAGGATGTGATGCCACAGGAAGTTTGCAGATGACACCAAGCAGAGGGAAGTAGTTGAAAAGCTGGAGAGCAGAGCTAGGGTTCAGAGTGACCTTGACAATTTGAAGGATTGGACCAAAAGAAATCTCATGTGGTTCAGTAAAGACAAGTGAAAAGTCCTGCACTTCGGATGGAACAATCCCAGCACTGATGCATGCTGGGGATCAACTGACTAAACAGCAGCTATGCAGAAAAGAACTTGGAGGTTACAGTGGACAATAAGCTGAATATAAGCCAACAGTGCACCCTTGTTGTGAAGAGGGCTAATAGCATACTGGGCTGCATTAGTAGGAGCCTTGCCGGCAGAACAAGGGAAGTAATTATTTATCTCTGTTGAGCATTGGTGAGGCCACATCTGGAGTACTGTGTCCAGTTTTGCCCCTTTCCCCTTCTCCCCGCTACAAAGGAAGTGGACAAATTGGAGAGTCCAGCAGAAGGCAACGAAAATGATTAATGGGTTGGGGGCCATTACTTGTGAGGGGAGGCTGAGGGAAATGGACTTAAATAGTCTGGAGAAGCGAAGACTGAGAGGGGATTTAATAGCAGCCTTTAACTACCTGAAGTGGGGTTCCAAAGAGGATAGAGCTAGACTGTTCTCAGTGGCGGCAGATAGCAGAAAAGGAGCAATGGTCTCAAGCTGAAGCAAGAAGAGTTTAGGTTAGATATTAGGAAAAACTCTCTCACTTGGAGGGTAGTAAGGCACTGCAACAGGTTACCGAGAGAGGCTGTGGAGTCTCCATTATGGAGGTTTTAAAGATCTAGGCAGACAAAGCCTTGGCTGATTATACATTTGGAGGCGGTCCTGCTTTGAGGAGGGAGTTGGACTAGATGATTTCCTGAGGTCCCTTCCAACCCTAATTGTCTATTACTCTAGGTTTCTATAATTCTAATTCATTTTGATGGTGCATGAGAGAACTTGGTCATATTATGTCAGTCCATCTCACACATACTGTTGTGTACAAAAGTGTTTCAGTACATGATGACTATAGCACCTGGCATGTTCTGTTCAGTTCCAGTTATAAAATGTTACATGACCTATGCTGTAGCCAGAGTAAAGATGCTCAGTTTACAAAAATATAAAAAAATGACTTGTAACTAGTGAGCAATTATGTACTAACCTTGTGATTTTCCCCTTCCTTTAAAGACAATCGCACTAGCCTCCAGCCACCTCCACCCATAATCAAGCCTCTACCCAGCACACCAAGTCAGTCTTTATCTAAACCCAAGAAACCATCTAAACCAGCTGTGCCATCACTGTCTGCTGCTCCAAAGCCAAAAGTGCCACCTAAGCGAAATGAGCGTGTCGAAGATGAGGTAACAGTCATGGATCCACACATCTTTACAGCACAAATGAATGGCAGCCCCAGGAACATATCACAAACTAGTTTGTCCACAAGTTTAGCCTTTCCCACCTGCCTGCTATTGTTCAACTCATTAGAGAATTATTTGCTGGTCTCACAGTAGTTCCATAGGCAATATTTATCCACATCATCTGTAGAGCCCTTCCACTCATTTAATATTTGCTCCTCACCCATGATGACATACTGCTGATAGCCATGGGAAATTTTGAGCACTGAGATGGGCTTACAGAGTAAAGAAAGAGTAGGGGTGATATTCTATTCCATCTATTAGGTATCCAAGTGGACTTAGGCACCTAAGTGCAATTCTATTCCACCATGTTCAAGTCCTGACAAGCCATTAATGCATTTTCTTTTATAAAAAGCCATCATGTTACTCTTACAATGAAGTCATAAAAAAGCAATGAAGAGGAGGAGGACCCACTTACCTTTTGTATTAACAGTTTTCCAGTGGCTTGAGTAAGATAGAAAAGAATCATATTTAGACACAAGTCCAGTTTACATGCCTAGTAAGCAGAATGAAATCTGGCCCTACTTGTGCTACAGTTAGAGACATTTCCTATTTGGTACAAGAATGCAGGTCCGAAGCAAAAGTCCAACCTTAAAAATTCACGTAGAGAGTATAACTGTTAGGCGTGCATCTAGTCCATTGCTGCCAAGGCAAGATTGCTCTCTACAGTGTATCCAAGATAATACCTGCCTAGCTGATAAAGCTTTTTCTGAATTTCTCACAGGATGATTATGTTGTGCCAGTAGACGATGAAGATGATAACTATATTGAGCCTACAGAAAGTAGCAGTTCACCATCTCCAAAACGTGAGTTTTAATCATTTCAGCTGACGATTGGATGATGCTACTTTCTTTTCCCAAAGCTTCCAGTTGAGAATCTTGTTGTGGTTTGAGGTGCCTCTTCTCAACCAAAACAATGCTGTATTAAAATTCTCCACTCATTGGAGTATACCATAAAGACAAAAAACTGGTTAAGTTTTTAGTTAATAGGGACTTGGGAATTCATTTTATTTTACCTTGCTTGCACATATGGCAAGCTGGAAACTGAAATCACTGTCTTCTGTGAAAAGTGAACTGAGCACAACTTTTCACAAGGTTGACAGTCTTGGACCTTTTCAGCAAGGTGGGAGCACCGTGAATAAGGTTAATCTCATGAATCAAAGGCTGTTTTTCTGCTGCCACTCACTTTCTCAACACTTCAGAGAATTTGGAGCTAGAACTCAGACCTTCCTGTTGCTTTCATTTCATAAACATAACATGGATACATTTATTTCTTTTTTCAAGCTCCTGTGAACAGATATATGAAGTCAACAACAAAACCAGTTCCTATCCCTGCAAAGCCCTCTCCAGCTTCTGCCATTCAAGGTATGAAGAGTTTATATTAGTATAAGAGGAGCCTGTTTAATACACCCTGGGCATGTCTACATGAGATGCTACTGCACAGTGGTTAATGTGCAGTTATTTATTACTTGTATAAACAAGCACTAGATAAACACAGTAACCAGAGTTAGTGTACAGTAGCACTGTCAAATGCCTTTTAAATGATGCTACCGTGCAGTGACCTACTACTACTGCACAGCAGCATCTCAACACAGTTTTTGCCATGCAATGCTACCATGCAGTAGTATCCGGCAGTCAGCATCTCATGTAGATTCCAGGGATCATATCTATTTGGCTGGGAAGAAAGAGAATCCATGTGAAATGAGTTATTCATAGATCTTAGAGTCAGAAAGGACCTCAGCAGATCGTTGAGTCTGACCCCCTGCCCTGGGCAAGAAAGAGCACTGGGGTCAGATGACCCCAGCCAGGTGCTTGTCCAGTCTCCTCTTAAAGTTCCCCAGGGCAGGGGACAGCACCACATCCCTTGGAAGCCCATTTCAGATTCTGGCAACCCTCATGGTAAAGAAGTTCTTCCTGATGTCTAACCTGATTCTGCTATCTTGCAGTTTGTGGCCATTATTTCTAGTTACTCCAAGGGGTGCCCTAGTAAACAGCATCTCCTATCCCTTGCTGTCTTGCACCCCACCCCTCACCCCCAATGAATTTGTGGATGGCCACAAGATCACCTCTCAGCCTTCTCTTGCAGAGGCTGAAGAGATTCAGGTCCCTCAGTCTCTCCTCATAGGGCCTTACCTGTAGGCCCCTAACCATATGAGTAGCCCTCCTCTGAACCCTCTCAAGGTTATCCACATCACTCTTGAAGTACATCCCTTTTGAAGTACAGACACATTGGCAATGCATAGGGGTTGCACTCAGGTGCATGTGAACCCCGAGATTGGTGGTGCTTCTGTCAGGGTGTGCACCACCAATGCTGCTGGCGGTGCCTGTAGGTGGTCACCAAACCCCTTCCCCCCAACCCCGATGCCAACATCACCATGGCCACCTGCAAAATCTCCCTGACGCCATGCCCCTGCCACCTGTGGGTGGTCACCATGCCCCCACAACCTCTGGGGGCACGTCATTCATGTACAGACATATTAAAGATGTCTGAATCAACTCAAATCTTACCTCATCCCTGGAACCAACTAAATAGCTGATATTTATTTTATCTGCTGACAATTTCTTGGTGAGCATCTGGGAACCTTGCTCTCCATCTATAATGACAGAATATCTGAGAGGTTGCTGTTCTCTCCAGTGGAAGCTGCTATTCAGAGAGTGGCCCATATTCCTCAGTTCATGTTATTACCTCACTTTCAGCCTCAAGTTACAGATGGATAGCACTTTATTTAGTTGGCCCGAGTCACAGAAATCCTGCCCAACTGAGAACAACTGGTGCTTGAATTCCAAAGTGCCCAGCAGTGGCATTTTCAGTCATGGAGCATCCAAGGTCCTACCTCCATCCCCAGTTCTTGTGCACATTGTGGTTTTCAAAAAATCTCCAGGGTGATTTCTTATCCCTGCTGTTAGAGCAAGACTACTAAATTTGTCCAGCAAAAGGCTTACGGGGTCACTTGCTCCAGAGCAAGGGAACAGGTTGTTCTGTTGCCTGCTAAAAGATGGCTTGGTGTCACATCAGGTTAGGAAGGGAATGCTGAACTGGACATAATGATGAAAAGCAAGGAAATTTATTGCAGGTAGGAAGCAATAAGCATGTGCAAGGAGAAACATAAGCCCAGTGAGGACAGGCCATTATGTAAATATCAGAGGCTTCTGTGGAGTCCTAACATGGATCAGGTGACTTGTATGTCTGTGAATACACATTTCATTTGAATGCTTATCAACACTGACTCTGATGATTCTGAACCTCTTGTAACTGTCTAATTACTACAAAATGAAACCATACTTTATCAACCTTTTTATGTATTCTCCACATTCTGCTAAAAAAAAACAAACTATAATTAACCCAAGGCCATTCACCAGCTATTTTATTTCAAAGCTTTGCTTGTTGATCACTTCTATACACAGAGTAAATTATGTTAATTGTACTTGACATATTAATAACAAAATTATGATACATAGGTATGGCATAGATATTTCAGATACTGTAGCTTCCTGCTCAATAAATGCATTGCAAGAATTACTAAAGCTGGAATTATCCACTTGCCCTGAATTTGGGATTGTGTTATTTTTTGTTTGCTGGTTTGCTTGGCTTTGGTTTTTCATTTTTGTTTTTATGTTTTACTTTCTTTTAAGACAGAATATAGAACGCAAAAGGACTTACATCCCAAACAATTACCAAACTAAAAATCACTAATCCCATTTTACAACAGAAATAAAGCAACCAATCATCCTGGATTTGAGGACTGCATTGCAGCATCCCCAAAGAGTTCCTGAAATGAGAGACTCATCCCAGTCTGACAGCTCCTAACAAACGTTCCCAAATGCCCCCTCCAAACACCAGTCTGCTCTGTGGGGGCACCTTACCTCTACTGAGAGCTAATTAGTTCTAATGGAAAGAGTATAGCCATGTTTCACAGTGCTTTGCCTCAGCAACTCAGCTCACCTGCACTGCCTCATTAAGGTGGCTACATTATGGTTCCAGCTAGATTACTTCCAGTTCCAGAGATCTGTTGTTACCCTCAAATCTGTGGAGCATCTGTGACTATGTCCCAGACTTTGGTCACCTTATCTAGAAACTAAAATGCATTTTTAAAATACTGAAACAAGATTAAGTCTTAATGAGATTATAAGGATTCTGATGGTTTAGATTATTATGAGTGTGTGAGTACTGCTCTATGAAAAGATATTAGTTTGGAAAGAGAAGGTAAAAGCAGAAAGAAAATAGAAAGCAGACTCATATTTTCATCTGAAATATCAAATATAAATACTTAATCACCTTTAGCCGGATAGTACGGAGTTTTGCTGCTTAGTCATGTCAATAACTGTTTAAAATGTACACTTCACAAAATAATTAATTCTTAAAAAGTATTGTGTCATTTCATTAGTAATTTGATTACATTCCAACCCATGGACAACAGTTATCTCAGTGACTTTCAGTTTTATCACAGGTTTTTCAGACATCTTTAAACAACCATCCAGTCTTACAGTTTTCTACAAATCAGTTACCACACAAGTGATTCTTGACAGATTTTAATATTACTTTTAAAAAACCAAAACAAACAAACAGCTCCCCCTAGTGGGTGTTTGAGCAATGTTCAGCAAAGATCTTGTAGCATTAATACAATAAAAACATAGCTCATCTACAATTGAAGAAACTGGATTTAGATCAGGGCAATAATTATTTTAGGGTTTGCTCTCTAACTTCCCAAACTCTACAGTATTTGGGGATTTTGGTGATGAAAAGAACACTTGTATTCAAAGTAGTTCCCAGTTCTTCTACAGGTGCTTAAGACTGGAAAAGATAAAGATTAAATTGGATGATACAGTGCAGTGCTTGTAATTGCTACCTGCTGGTATGGGCTTTTTATCCTTTTTGTCATCACTTCCTGTAATTTTTCTAATGTTTAGATGAAAAGGGCACAAATATGACTATCTGAGGAGTAAGTTACAGCTCATTGTGACTGAGAGAGGTAGATTCAGTCACTAAGTGAAAATAATCCCATTTCCTTGAATCACCACTACATATAGGAATCTTATTTTCTCTTTAAAAGCAGAGGTAACTTTGATGTGTATTCCAATCTGCATTCCTGTTAAAAAAAACCCAAATCTGCAATCCCTTTTTGCTAACTACCTAATATTCTTTTTTCCTTCAGAAGTCTATGAAATCCCTGAAGAGGAGGTAAGGTCTTTATGAAGGTGGAAATAAGCCTATGCTACTAAGACTGGTTCCCCATTCCCTTGGCAACTTCATGGTTCTGGTTCCCTCCACAAAAAGAGCAGGAAAAGCTTGTTTTATTCACCCAGATTTTCTAGATGGTGTGAGGTTCCCAGCTCTGTGTAAGGGAATCTATCTTAGAGGTATAACTTGAAATGTAGGGGCCTTGGTGGCACAGGAAGGGGAGCAAGTGTTTACCTCTCTGTGCCAGGGCTGTTGTAGTTGTGGTGGCAGTGCAGGTTGCTGCCACCTCAGTACAAGTTCCCCAAATAGGGCTTGTGGCAGCAGCAGGAGTTCACTGGGGCTGCTAT